GGAGGAGGAGGACGAAGAAAGCTGGGTGACGCACACCTTTAATTGCAGTGCTTGGGAGGCTAAGCAGGCGATCACCATGAGTTTAAGGCCAATCTGGGCTACATAGTGAGTTCGTGGTCAGTCTGAACTACATACTGAGACCCTGTCTCCAAAAGCAAACAAATCAGAACAACAAATAACAAGTACCATCAAATATAACTGCAGACAGTTTAAGAGACAAATCCAAAAGATAGGCTGACAGTAAAAAGATGAAGGAAATCATGCAATTAATGTATAAAGGATAAAAATCCTGTATAACTGTATTCATATCAAATAATACATTTTAAAACAAAGAGCATTATTAGAAATATAGAAGGTTATTTTATAATGATTACAATTTCAATTCTCTAGGAACTTTAACAAATGCATACGATTATGTGCTTATAGCAAAGCCTCACACAAAGACAGAATTAACTTACTAAAAGGAGAAATAGGCAAATATACTAATAGAGTGGGAGTTTGTACCACACTTTTATCAGTGCTTGATCAAGGAAACAGAACATGTCTAAGAATATAGAATTTTTAAAAGAATATGATTATCTTGAGCTAATACCTAATGTAAAGAACACTGCAACCAACAACTACAGTCTACATGTATAGAACAGGTAAAAAATGTGACCATATGCTAGGCCACAAGGGAAGTTCAATATATTTTGAAGAAGTAAAGCCTGATCACAATGTAAATAAATTACAAATCAGAAGCATATATATAAGTGGAAAATCTAAGCATGTTTAGCAACCAAGACACATATTCAGAAATAAGTGATGGGTCAAATAAGGGTGATTGTAGAATTTAAATATGTTTTTAGCTGAGCTGGCTGCAGGGGCACATGCCTGTATTCTCAGCTACTCAGGAGACTAAGATAGGAGGATCATTTGAGCCCAGGAATTTAGAGCCATCCTGTGCAATATCGGGAGACTCCACATTTTAAAAAATTAGGGAAATGATAATGAGAAGACACTTACCAAAACCTGTGGGATGCAGTTAAAGTAGAGCTTAGAAGAAAAACTCTAGTACCAGGGATGAAAGGCCAAAAGTTAATCAGTTAAGCATTCATCTTGAGATGTAAGGGGAAAAAAATGAAAGAAAGCAAAAAAAAAAAAAAAAAAAAAAAAAAAAAAAAGCCCAACAAAACTTTTAAAAATGGTATGATTAAGATAAAGTCAGAAATTATGGAAATAGAAAGCAATGAAAATAACCAGTAGAAAATTAAAGTCCTTTCTTGCCACTTCTGTTCAGTATTTTACTGGAGATTCTAGCCAGGGCAATTAGGCAAGAAAAGAAAATAAATGGCGTACAGATTGGAACATAAGAAGTAAAATTCTAGTTTTAGATG